CGAGCAGAGTGCAGGGATGGGGTTGGCTGCAGGCTGATGTGGTATCTAGGGGTGGAAAGCACTGTGTAAGCTGTTGTAATTTGTTATCTGTGACTTTTGGGGCACGTAATTGCTATTTAATGTTTCGGCTCCATAGTTTGTATTAATTTAGCATCTTGAATACCCTGTTAATTTGTTTTGATTGTGCTTCACAGCTGATAGAGCCCTAATTAATGTGTACAAAAGTATTTAGAAAAAGTGACAACCACTCATTTAAAGTATTATAGGCATTTAGACAGGAGCCCACTTACATTACTGTTGATTATTAACTGATAATGTCTATCTTCTGAAATTGTACTGTACCTGTTAGACACTCTGCGATAGCAGCTGAAACTACTCTGCAATTCTTTCTGTGATCTGGAGGTGCCTTTTGATCCTCTGATCCCCTTGAATTTACAGATTGAATGCTGGTCCCAAACTAGCTTACAGCTCTATTTATAACAGTTGCAAATTTTAAATTCTGGCAGATACTTTTAAGATCTTAAGGCTGCTTTTAGTAGATGGCAAAAGTAAAGGCAGTTATACTTGCTGTTGCTCAATTAAAATGCATGTGCAGGAGACAAAAATTATTCTTTGACAATATTTTAATGGTATTTTGGAGCTTATATGTTAAGTTTTAATTATAAGCAAGAAAGCCTAGTTCTGGATTTTGCTATTGATTTATTCTCAAGCTCTAAGAAAATATCCAAAGAAAGTGCTTTTTTTTTTTTTTTTTTTTTTTAATTAAACATGTTATATAACTGCATGTGTGTAGAAGAAACTCTAGTATTAAGCAGATAGTATCAGTTCGGCCTTTGCAAATTCAGGCCAGAAGTAGCTTTAGCCACTATCAGAAGAATTATATTTCTCAGAACACACTGAGGAGAAATTTAAAAGAAAGAAAGTACTGTCAAAAGGGTTATGAATCTAATAGTAGTTTGTGGGTAACATCAAATTACTAAATTTTAAACAGTATTTGTTACAAGTGAAAAAATCACAGTATAATTGTTACTAAATGGTTGACTGTTTGTCCTAAGCTGCTGGCTGAATCACTGCACACATATAGTAAGATATTACAAACTTATCACATACACAGTTGCTATAAATTTTTCTGTTGGACTCTTATAAATTGACAGTATGGATGGGCGTACGTGTTTTGTCTTGGCACTTTCTTGTTGTGTTTCTGGCATCTCATGCAGCAGTTGTGCAGCGTTTGGCCGTGGGTTTGAGTTCGCAGCTCCAGTTCCTCAAGCGTCGGCTCTGTTTTAGTGACCGACCGCAAGACGGACGCCGCAGCGTGTGCGGCTCCTTGGCCGTCCGAGACGGCCCCGGCGCTGCGCGGGGGCCCGTCCTGCGGACGCGTCGCCAACGGCACCTCGGGAGTGTGACTCTGTGGCCAGCGTGGAGGGGCACTACCTGTGTGCAGGAAAGATGCCCATCCACCCAGCTAGCACAATAGTGAATTCAATTTGCAAGTACTAAAAAGCAAGAACCTCCCCATTAAGGGACATTGTGACATTGAAACTTGATACTGAGAGGACAAAGAATGGTAACTGAAAGAAATGAAAGCATCCTCCTGAGCTATAGTTAGAGTGAGTGCAATATATATTCCTGGGGGAGACAACTGGAAGGCTGGTGACAATCCGTATCAAAAAGAGAAGTGGGACATGGGCACGTTTGGTGCCATGCTTGTTCAGAATCACTGAGCATCTGCTTTCAGAGGTGGGAACAAAATTACCTCCAGGCCAGAACTTTGTCTCTAAGGGATTTGGAGACACTAAGAAAGGAAAAAGCTTCAGGAAATAAAAAAGGAACATCTTTATACATAAATTCTTTAAAATTGATTTTTGTTTTTAAGAGTATTTTCAAAAATCCATCAACTGAACATAAAAGCATCTGAGTTGCCAATGAACTGCAGTGAAGATTAATTCCTTGAAAAGCTGTGTCTTTCTAGAAATACTTTTTTGTTTCTTCAAATAAAGCTCCTAGCCAGAAATAAGTAGAAAATAAACATAAAATTCATAATATTTTTATGGGAATTAATTGAACTGTTGGACTGAATTGAATTGAATACTTTGTCCAAACAGACAGTTTGTCACTAACAGCAGTTACAGAATCAGAGTGAGTAAAAACGTAAGCCCCTAATCCTATTAAGTTTCCAGAGTAACTCCACCGTGATGCCTGATTTTAATAGAGTCCTTCAGAAATCAGAAGGGTTAAGATACTGTTGCAATTGGTGTATCAAATAGAAGGCTAAATGTCTTACTATTTTAAGTCAAATATTTATCCTTTTATCTTTGGAGCAAGAGATTGTTGATGTTTATGTGCTTGATATTTGTGCGTGGTGCATTTATTTTTTTCCCCCTCAAACGAGTATTTTGAGTGGAAGTATCGTAAATCATGGTGGTGTCCTGAGTTAAACAGCAGGCAGAGCAGCGCTGGCTGCACCCGAGCCGCGTGCGGGGGTTATTTCTCCAGGTGTGCGGGGCTGTTCTGCCCCTGCTCATTTTGGTCTCTGGGGCTGCTGGCACCAGGGCTCCTGCACTTACACTCTGGCCTCTGTCCAGGCACAAATAGGTGCTACAAAGCACCTCATGAAAGAAAAACTTCATGTTGCAAAGGATCTCCCAATGTCATCTGGTGGAAAAGCCCCAGGACCAGCTTCAAGGTTAGTTCCAAGCACCCTCTTAAATTTTGACCACCGACAGATCTTGTTGTTTTGATAAAGCGGGCTAAGAAGCGATGATACGCTGGGGAAGCTGAGTTGCAGACCTCTGGAAAGGCAGGAGAGCGGGGAGGTTGGGAAGCAGGGCCGGCCGCTGCCGCTCGGCTCTTCCTTCTGCTCCCTTGCAGCCCCAGCTGGGCGCACTGCAGCTCCGAGTGCGCTGAAAGGCGCTTGTTGCCACTTGGGTTTTGTTCTTACTGCCTGGTTTCGGGCATGACACATGTGAATGCCCAACATGCTGTGACTCAGGGCTCGTTTGAGCAAAAAAGGTGTATTTGAGTGTAAGGATTTGCAGTGTGTGTTTGGCTTGTGACAAGTGAGAATGCTGCTGCCCTGGAGTGTTTTCTCACAGGTGGTTGGGACTTCCCTGCACGAGTTCCCAGCTCTGCGAGCTGGCAGGAGGTCAGTGTGGCTTCTCTGATGGCATTTTTCACATCGCCCCTTTTTTTTTTTTTTTTTTTTTTTTTTTTTCCCTCTTCCCCTCTATAACTGTCTGCCTGTTTTCCAGAGCTCCAGGAACAAGACCATTTTGTTGCTCTGCCTTTAAAACCCAGCCACTCATCCTCAAGTTTGTTTGGGGTGACACTTTACAGAAGGATGAGCACAAAGAGCAAGATTGCATAAGCTCTGTCCCTGTTTTCCGAGGTATCGGGCTCCAAGAGCCACTCTTTC